ATACAGGCTTTGGTGCCTCCCCCACCGACATTGCAACAGTTAGAAGCTCACTTACACCGAGAAAGGCGACAGATAACGCTTCAACAAATCAGACGTCTAACTGGCAGTATGCGGCGCAGCAGTCATCCAGGCAAACGGTGGATATACCCGATATTGACTTTTCGATGACTAATTATCAATGTGTGGGTCATGATTGACATTTTGTAATGTGATTTGACAATTCAATAACGTTTTTGAGCTTTCACTGACAATACTTATTAAGGATAATTTTAACCGTGAAAACTGTCCATATTTTGATGTCATTATATGTAAATTCAAAATTGTTATTTTACGGTGATAATCTTGTTTTCTTGTGCCCAATAATGCATAATTTCATTTGATAAACACGTTTAGATTGAATGGTAATTTATAATCAGTCACAAGAACGTCGAATCTGAATCACTTGAAAAAAACACGGGGGTGCTTAACTTTTTTCCAGGTGTATATGTAAAAGAATCAGTATTGAAGAGAGACAGGTTGTGTTCCGAGAGCATATGCTCCATGAAACAACCCCTCCCAATATCAGCAACACCCCAAAAGGGATTGTGTTCATTGAAGTCTGTCAAGATGAAAAAGGAAGATAGCAACTGGTAAAAATCTTAAAAGTAAGATTCTATAAAATGTAATAATAAATCGAGTTAAAAACTAAATGTCCAAAATTCAGATAAAAGACTCAAATAGAATTAAAAAGGCCAATGGCTCATAAAAAGCTAAAAACATGATCAAGTTAGACAGTGTCACCATCAGCATTGACATCATCCAACATCAGGAGTAAACTCGTAGAAAGTACATGTTGAAAATGGTAGCGCCGCTCATGGTCGTAATGTCAGCACAACAGTAAAATATGGGATATTGCGACTTGAGTGTCACAAAGGCTACACACTGATGGATCAGTACTAGATAAAAGAAAAGGACAAGTTAAAAACTGTGACTGATGCATAGCCTAGCCAAAGCAACTTCCTCCTTCCGATCTTTATGGAGACAAGATGGCCAGAGAGCAACAGTAGGAAAGAGTGGGATACCTGCAAAAGGTATGCCAGGCCATTTCTGAGCCTTCCGTGCCTGCTGGCAGGCTGGAGACCACCATGGATGAGGTTACCATGGGAAACGTGTCGATATTTTGGGTACAGAATGAACAACTGCTTGAATGATGCAATCAGTTACTGCCTCCATGCAGTTGTTAATAGATGTAAGACTAACGACAGCAGGATCGAGTTCCAAGAGAGAGGTGAAAGAGAGCCAGTCAGCCTGGTCCAACTTCCACCATGGCAATTGGGTCAGGTGGCATCGGCCACACCCAATCTCCCTCTAAACTATAGGAAAATGATCACTGCTTTGTGAGTCACTGTCAACCCCTCAAAGAAAAAAGAGAAAAAAGAAGGGGAACAGACAGACAAAGCAATAGCATTAAAAGGCGGACTAGGTGCATCAAAATATGTAAAAGAACCAGTATTGAAGAGAGACAGGTTGTGTTCTGAGAGCATATGCTCCATGGAACAACCCCTCCCAATATCAGCAACACCCCAAAAGGGATTGTGTCCATTAAAGTCTCTCAAGATGAAAAAGGGAGATAGCAACTGTTCGATAAGAGCATCAAGCTCTGATTGATCGTAAGACTCTCCAGGAGACAGGTAGAGAGAACAAACAGTAATGGTATGACCCAAGGAGATATGGACAGCTACGGCCTCCCTCCAAGGGTTTATAGAGTGGTACAGACGAGGTGAGTACGTGCTGGTCAACCAGGAGTGCCACCCCTCCATGAACTCATCCATCACACAACCTGTCATTCCGGTAATAGGAAAACTGCCAAAAGGTGACAGTATCAGCAGGTTTCAGGAATGTTTCTTCTAAGGAGAGACACATGGGATGATAGGAACTGATCAAGGCCTCAATTTCATCCAAATTAGAACAAAATTTTCGATAGTTCCAATGTATCAAAATAGCCATTTTTATTTAAGTGGAGGAGAACTGGGCAGAGTACCCTTCTGTTTATGACCATGCCGTTTTTCTTTACCAGAAGGAGGTTTGTTGACTTCCATGGATCCTACCCTGGGTTAGTGGGCAGATCTCTCTCAGTAGAAGTAAATTCCAATGACTGAGGGCAAGAACAAAAAATCATTTTGCATCTCGTGGCCGAAGGAGATGGACCCGGGCAGTCACTGGAAGCAATGGTGGGGACATAGATAGGAGTAGACATGGACTTGTCAACTTTTTTTTTATCCATAGAGGGAAAAGATTCTTCAAATGGTGTGAGAAAGACTTTGAAGGAGGCATGGAAAAGCCTTGGGGTAAGAAATGCTGTTAACAATTTTTATTCTGAATTGAACACAAGATCTATCACTTTTAAAAAATGAAAACAGCAAAAATTAATAAAACTGCCACAAAAACAAAGAAACAGAAAAAAACAGGGTCCAGTCTTAGATGAATCTATGCCCAATGCTTGTAAGAACCTAAACATACATACATATATATATATTTAGCTGACTGCCCACAATTAGAGAATAATACCAGGTCTTCATTCCTCTTTGGACAGATCACTGTCTCAGCTAATATGCTACTTGCTTTATGAACAGAAAACAGTGCATTTCAGCCATTAGCTCTATGTAGTGTAATGTTCAGGACGTGGATTATTTGTTTAGGTCTTGAGTTCTATCAGTTCAATTAGTAGAGTTCTAGCCTCAGAACACTAGTGTGAACCAAAGATTATGGGTTCAAGCCTCAGTGATGTTAAAACAGACTTAACATCCTAACACATTATATACTAGCACCCAGCTGGAGTGTCGTCTCATCCATGGTCTAAGTGGATGGTACATCAAACCATCTGTGTAATGCTTGGCTCGGTGATTGACCTAATGTTTTGTTTGTGACTGTGATGTCTTTTTCAAGATACTGTGTTGTATATTTGCAGCTTGACTATGATAGGCTGTGTTGTGTTTTGGACATTTAAATACTAGTATTAGCCAAGGATACCAGATTCAAACCCTAGTCAGGGCATATTTCTTCCACCCTGAACACATTACACTAGGTTAGTGTTTTAGGAATAAAAAGGCAAGATTACAGTAAGGTATCTAGCACTTCAAAAGCATGGTTGTGGTGGGTCAAAGGATATTTTGTCACCTTGCTTGTAGCAAATTTTTGAATTACTTTTTTAAAATCATGAGATAACAATATAAGCTAACTAACCTCTGTTAGTTTAAAAACTCCTTCACTCTCAACAAATATTTTTTGAAACTTTGTTTCTTTGAGGAAATTGGACAAGGACAGGATGACAGAAACCCTTGTTTCAAGAGACTCTTCCAAAAAATTGTCACTGAAAACAAAATTCAAGATAATTCACATTTACAAAGTCAAAGAAAAAAAATTAAAACAATCATAACTTTATACATGCAAGTAACTATTCAGTTTAATCAAGTAATGAGACAACCTTTTCTCATATTAACACTACTGACTTAAAAAGTATCAAATTCAAAAGGCTAAATTTACTCTAAATATTTGGTTCTCTACATACCATACACTGTATATATACGTATAAAAATGTATTGTTAGAGTTTTACCAAGAATACTATATATTATTAAGTCAGTACAGGAATATTTGAGTATGATAATATAAAATACATAAAATATAATACCTGAACTCTTATATTAAAAACATAAGATACAAGTGGATGATAAAATATCAGTCAATGTATTGAAACCACTTATAAGCCTTCAAAATGTGAAAAAGTGAGAATAAAGCTTATGCCCAAAGAATAGCAAACCATTCTGCAAGTAACAACAAAAAAATAAAATAAACCTATTTTAAAATAATTTTTTGTATATGTGGAAATTAAGAAAAATATGACTTAGGAGTTTAGAATCATATATATATGTACATATAGAGATAAATGTTTGAGGTCATGTGCAGTTCCTGGAAGTTTCAATGTACATTCACATGACAGCATTACTTCACCATTCCTGTGTCTGCTAAAAATCTCTGCATGTCCAAGAATCTGCTGGTTGAAGTTAGAGATTGAAAATAACCCCAAAATTTGTAACACATTGATCAGTTATTGAATTCCACAGTATCTAATATGCATATCTGAAATGTTTGTTAAAATACATTATATAATAGGAACAGTATCAATAAACAATAAATTTTGATATATATATACATATTTCTAATACTATCAGGTACGTTAATTGTAAATAGGTGATCAAATCAGCACTATAAAACAATAATGAAATTAACACAAACCAAAAACGTTCACAATAAGACCAAAAAGTAAACAATTATTTTTCTGTTAATAGTCCTTGTTGTTATCATCAACACATAACAGAAAATGTCTGTGGCCATAGCTCAACTGTAGTAGGAATTGAGATGTCTTGGATTCAAGCATTTAACTCTTAATCCTTAACAGATTCTCTATAGTTGCTGGCTAGTTTGACATATATCAAATATCCCCAATGCATTTGGAAGCTATGGCCACAAACATTTTCCACTATGAGTTAATAATGATGACAAGGATTGGTTATTGAAAAATAAAAAGTACACCGATAACTAGAGTACAAAGAATATAAACAAATTTGTTATTTTTGCACATTAAAGATAACCAATGTTCTCATATTATTCTACCATAAATACATATAAAAAAATTACAAGTTCAAACAAAAAATGCCAAATCCACCATGCAAACAAACACTTAATCTAATGCCCAGTGCATACTGTTCTACATTTCCATCGGCTACTGAGTGATTGTTTTTATATTAATATTACCATCAACTGGATATAAATAGGAAAATTGTCATATTATCTTTTACTGAGAACAAAGTGTGTTAAATAAACTGAGCTTGTTTAATAATACTAAGCACTAATCCATAAGTATTAGTATTCATTACTTTTGAAATATTAACTCAATAAGCTAACAATCGTTTTCCTGATGGCTCAGTTAGGTGTAAATTGTTTAATCACCATAAAATTAAATAGAGTCCAGTTACCTGGTTGTTGATAAAACTTCATTGTCTGAACTCAACCCTGATGAGCTTGACATAGATTATAAAATACTAAACATTAGAGCAGGTTGGAAAGACTTTTCTGAAGAAAGAGTTTGTAATAGTAAATAATCAGTAATAGATTATATATATATATATAATTTATCACTTTAAGCACTATAAACTATATTTAAATGATCCATGAACTCACTTGGAGTGGACAAATATGTACAAAAGGAATTTTAATATTACGAAATGTAGGTCCTAAAGCAACGAACATGAACTGGAAATTTTAAACATAATTTGCTCCATTCATTAGAGGTTTCTAAGTTTTGTGGATAAAACAGAGGATTTAGGTGCAATTATTAGTGCCCACATGATTGTAGTAAAGAAAGAAAAAACTATTCTGCCATCTCATTCAAGAAACTTTGAATCTAAAACAAAACATTATTAGTACATTGCATAAAAAGTAAACTTATGCAAAAAATATTAACTTAAAGTATCATGATAATTCCTGGTCTCCTTATTTAAGTTATTACCCTAAAATAAAAACACATGTAAAAAATGCTCAGACAAGCTACACAAATGGACCCAATTTTCAAAAAACTGGGCTATGAAGTAGTTACAAAAGACTGATTATTTTTTTCTCTGAAACATAAAATAAAATGGTTTGATGCAGGTATTTAAAACTGTTAGGGTTTCAATAAATTAGCTATGGAGGACTTGTTGAGTGGAAGATTAAAAGATAAAGTTGAAATTGGATTGTGAATATCTACCTTCATGATAATAAGCTTTGGAGATCCAGATCCAATCTTTACTTTCAGCAGAATTACTTATCTAGAAACATTATACCTTGTAGAAATGTTTAATTCCCAAGGATGTCTGCAGGCTTATTTAAACTACATGTAAAGTTTTGTTACTGTTATCTTACATTGTAAGATAGGTATTATAAAGACGCAATGTTTAAATTGGTTGTGTTATTGTTAGCAGGTGGAATGTGATTTCGTTTTCAGTGAGTTGAATGGTCCAAGTTAAACCTTACCTATCCTTAAGTTCCCAAAACTAAAAGGAAATTATTGAAAATATTATTACCTAATATTTTGTAGTAATACTAATATTAAATTAATGATTAACAAGTACTTGAAGTAGAAACTTACACAAACTTTCTCAGGACAGGTATTAACATGTTATGCTTAGAATTCATATTCGCCAATACTCCAGTAGTTTTGAAATCAAACGCTATTCGTCTGGTCAAAATTTTATTTGGTAACAAACTAATGTTAGTGGCTTGGTTTCACCCAAAGACTGTTCTGTGTTCATCAATAGTGTAAACAATACACCAAACTTGTATGATAAGGTTGTATAAACTTAACACTCGTTACTGATAAAACTGTAATAAAGCAGAACATTGTCATTTACTTTACTCATATTACTGGTTATTCTTATAAGTTAATAATCTTGCTACAATTTGCTCTTCATTGTTACTACATTATTACTGTCAGCTAACCAAATCAGTTCAATAAAATTATCTTTTTGAGCAGCATTTCTTAAATTTAAAGCTTTACATCTTTCAACTAACCAATATAAAAATTAAACACTGTAACTCTAATACCCGACAGTGCTATTACCGTATTGTAGTGCCCTCTATAACTGAAACTATTTTCTTGCATTGTGTTGTCGTGTTCGAGATTAAATGTTTTGCAGCGGCAAACTTTAAACGACATAACGGTGGCTAAGTGATGTTGGGAGAGAGCAGCATTCAACAGGTAAGAAACAAACCACATTGGCTATTTTATTTTGAAATAAAAAAAGTTGTAAGGAATTTTAGATAATTTGATCTAGTGCTTTTAATTTAAACGTTAACTTTTCAAGACTCAATGAAATTGAAATTCAAACCAGATTTCATCAGCTGTCAATTCAGTATCATTAGGGTCAGTATTGTAAGTTGTAACGGTTATGTTAAACAAAGCGTGAAAATAAAAAAGGTCTATATTGCATAGCTTATGATACTCTTGCAACGTAAATTGTTTTTTTAAAGTTACAATATGAAGTTATTAAAGATAAAAAATACTAATCTAATTATAGCACCACAATATGCTACATAAGAAAATTTGTTCGCCAAGACAAAAGTAGCTTAGCCTTAAGTTTTAAGAATTAAACCCAACGGAAAAACATTATCTAATTATAATATAAGGTATAGGCCTATACTGTAGTATACGGAAATGAAATGATGAAACTCGAAGTGTTACTGGTAAGTTATGCACAATGAACTACTACAGGTAAATAATTGTGAGAAAAATCAAAGTTTCGCAATGTGTTAATATAGTGTAAGTGGTCGCAAACATCATATACACGCTTTCAGTTTCAGTTTCGACTACACGTTACAAGGCGGTATTTTAATCTTTCATTTACTTGTACTTTTAAAGAATGTATAACTATAATTTGGCAGATAACGGGAAAAAATGGAAATCATTTGTTGAGTATCACTCATTGGTATTAATAATATAAATGAGTGATACTCGTTCAGAAATTTTAAATTTGAATCTAAAATAATATTGTTACGACAGCGGTAGTTACGTGACGCTGGTAACACGTCATGATATTCTAGAAGGATCGGGGAACATCACGAATAATCAAGTATGTGCTAGGCGCCCTCTATTCCTGTATATAAGTGCGCCAGATAACGTGAGACAAATTAATCGGAATAGAATTGCAGACGACAGAGACAAGCGCGGTAGTAAGTAAGTGCGTGAATCGTTCCCAGTGAATTATAACGTGTTTTTATAAAATTAGTTAAGTTAAATTGGCTGTGGAAATTAAGTGTATTGCAAAGTTGAATTGAGAAAGAATAAACTAGTTTTATTTAAGAAAGGACTTGTGTCGCTAAAGTTTCATCGGAAAGAAATTATACTGGAAATTAACAAATTGGTGTCACAGAGTGGGACAAAAAAAAAGATGGAAACGAGAAGCGGCAAATCAAACTACAGCTTAGCAGATTTGATGGCAGCACTACAAGTACAGCAAAAGAAACAAGAAGAGAAATTACAGCAGTTGTTGGAG